GGTAGATTTAGGCTAGACATCAGGAGGCGCTACTTCACTGTCAGGGGAGCTAGGATCTGGAACCAACTTCCAAGAGAAGTGATGCTGGCTCCTACCCTGGGGGTCTTTAAGAGGAGGCCAGAAGAGCACCTTGCTGGTGTCGTTTGACCCCAGTACTCTTTCCTGCCATGGCAGGGGGTCGGACTCGATGATCTGCTCAGGTCCCTTCCGACCCTAGAAACTATGAAACTATATAATTCCCACAGAGTCTCCCTGTGCTTGAAGAAGGGTGTTTGTGCCTGAAAGCTTGCAAAGAACATTTTTTCCTACTATATAGTTGGTCTAATAGAAGATATCTCATCTACCCAAAGAGCCTTGTTTGCCTATGTCCTTAGACCGACATGGCTACAACCAACAACCCTTTGTCTTCAAGTAGTTTTATGAAGAACAGTTTAGAATACAGAACAGTTTGGGTTTTTTTGGTGTGATACTGAATGATACATGTCTATTTAGTATAAGTATATTTTGATGATCTGGGTAAGGTAGTGTGATCCTGCAAGTAATTTTTCTGGTATTTAGTTCTTGATACAAAATATCCTTTCTACTCTTAACCATATTTTTTATTTTTCCTCTATTCATTAGTTGTTTTTTTTTCCATTTTAACATTACCTTACTCCTTTTATCTAATATAAAGGGGAGAGAGTATTTAGTAACCTGATCACTTCTTTAGACATATGACTTACCCTTTTCCCTTAAATGTTAGGGGCAGTGCATTAAAATATCATAAATATATTTTAGACAGAAAAAATATTTTTGTCAGATGAAGTTGCGTGTTTATAGACCCAGTTGCTTCAGTAAACTGCTGTAATTAAATTTTTATGAGGAAATATGTTCTTTATTCTCCCTTACCCTGAAACAAAGAACCAAATCTTCATTGAATCCATTCAGGAACAATGTTATCTTTCAGAATTTTCAATTAAAGCGGAGAATGTTCAAAGATGTGTACGATTTAAAAATAACTCTCTCTTTTTTTAGTAACAAAAAAGTCCAATGTTTTACTTCATCTATTTTTATTAGTTGTTGAATACCTGCAATTGGGAGAAAGGTCAGCAATTTATCCCAGATGATTGCCTAACATAAAACCACAGGAACAAAATAGAGCAGCCTGAAAATGTCAGTAGAACTTTTAGAAGGAATTGGTGCCCTCTGGCTGATTCCCTGATTGCTCTAATTACATACTGGGTTTAATTTTCTTAAAGTAAGGAAAAGCAGTATATATCCAATAAAAGATTTAAAATGGTTGAACAATGGTTATCATGCTGCATTCTCTGCAAAAGATCTAATCAATTGTAGGAGGCATATATGTAAAATGATCAGTTTATCAAGAGACCTTGTGAAATGTGGTTGCTTTCAGAGAGCAAGGAAGGATGATTAACTTCAGCAGTGAAGGTGTCTTAGTTTCAGAAGAAAAGGTACCTCTGCTATTAGCTAATGCTCCATTCTTGCCATTTATTTGTACTCAGATATATGCAGTACAGTTCAGCAATAGCATGCATCCCATGACAGTAAGCAGAAGAAAGAGTTTCTTTGAGTGAGAGAAAAATAAAGATGAAGTGATGAAAATTAAAGTATTTTGTCTTCATTCAGGTCATTGTAGCTCAGATTATGTCCTGTTTGTTAAACTTGGTTTGATTTTCTAATTTTTTGCAGTTGAAACGTTCTCGGGAGACAGAAAGTCAGCTGAAACCTTTGGTAGAAAAAAACACAAGGATGAATAAAAAGAATGATGACATGTTGCAGTGTATCCAGAGAATGGAAGAAAAAATTAAAAATCTTTCAAGGGAAAATGTAGAACTAGTAAGCAACTATTTCTTACCTACCAGAAGTCTCCTTATATAAACAACTTCCCATTCATAGCACCATGTTACAGTAACTATATGTTTCAGAATGTGAGCGAGGGAATGGTGTGAATGTTACTATAGCGTGTTTGAATTTTGTTGTATCCTAAAATCAAACAGTTTTATTTCTTTCTGCTTTGTCTTGTATCAAACCACACTGATTAAGAATATAGGCAGTTGTCTTTTCATATATGAAGAGTACTTGGGGGCTCTAAAAACAGAGGGTGAAAATCAGCTTCAGTGTACAGTTGGACTTGTATAGATGTATCTGTCAAATTTTACCTTGAACTAATATATATATATATATATTAAAAGAAATGGGAAAGATATTGCTCTATTATATCTTTTAGTCTACTTACCTGGGAATACAGGATTGTTCCCTAGAGTATGTTCTCCAGTGCTTTTTCTGTTCTACTTCAAAATCTCATAAGTGGTATCACGCATTCTCTGTGTTGAGTATTACCTTATTTCAGGGGCGGGCAGTTATTTTGGGTGGAGGGTCGTTTACTGAGTTTTGGCAAGCCATCAAGCCATTAATTTTCTAAATTTTTTAGGGGGCCCGTGGGCCAGATAGAATGGCCTGGTGGGCTGCATCTGGTCCGTGGGCCACATTTTGCCAACCCCTGCCTTATTTACTCAAATGTAAGGCCAGGATTTGCCCCCCCCCCCCAGTCAACATGGGGGGGGAAGTCCTTTGTCTTAAATTTGCATACAAGGAAACCTCACTAAATACATTGTTTATTATTAAACTGCTGCCAAAAGCAGCATGTGCTCAGTAATGGAAACCAATTTTAAGTTGATCAAGTGCAGCCAACAGTGAGCATGACTAAAACACAATATGTATTTCTATTTATATAAATATATAAAATCGCAATTCCTCTACCAATCTGTCCCATGGCCTCTATGACTCACTTGAAAGTCCAGAGCTCATCATTGTAATTACATTATACAGATTCCCATTGCAATATCCACCCAGCACACCTTTTAAGGAAAATTTTTCATGTTTCAAGCCAATTCGATTCCAAATCCGTGGGTCATTCAAGAACCATATGTGGCCCTACTACTGGCAAACATCCTCCACCTCCACCTGGGGCTTCCGATGTTGCCAAATCATTTGGCAGGCATCCTACGTGCAGGTCCAAGCCTGGAGACTTGGGGTTTGGATGCCCCCAAGTTTCGCTCACCCTTAGCCATAGGGCCGCAGGAGCAAGCTAGGGAGGAGGTACACCTGGATAGCGCAACCCTTCTGAATATGACTTAGTAATGCCCACTGAGCACAGTCCTTCTCTTTTTCAAGTCATAGTGAGCCACTACACTGCATACATTTTTATTTCCTTTCTACGCACACAGCTGAGCTTCACCTTTCCCATTTCCAATGATTCTTGTTTCTTCACCAGCCTTAAATGTCTGACAAACATCACCAAATGGGGCCCCAAACAGTTTACCTAGTTTACCTCGGTCAGCTGCTCTCTCAGCCCTGTTGCATATGATTAGCATGGCCCTGTCCTTCATGAGGTAAAGCCAGAGTAGGTTGTCCTATGCCTCATCTGCAAATTTTTTTTGAAGGATCCCAAGACTCGTGACAAGAACACCTGGTTCCTGACATGAGTGGAGACTAATTAGCATGTGGTCCCTTTGTGGGTGTATCTGGAATACACACATATACTGAGCAGTGCTGGGCTGTGGGGTCCCTAATGGCTTGAAATGCTGTTGCCTCTGGTGGGGCCCAGCTCCACGAAGTACATGGTAATTCATGTACCTTTTGGCTGTGGACTAATATCATGCATAGCTTGTACTATACATAAGAAGGTGCCAATGTGCTACTTTAAAAGTTTATTTATGGAGTACCTGTGCTAAAACTTGCATCAGTTTCAAAAAATGTAAACTGCATCAGCAAGCTTAGATGATCTAAGTGTATGGATACTAAATGTAAATCACTACCATTATGTTTATTTAAAGGTCAGTTTTTTCAAATTTCTTCTCACTTCCATGTGCTCAGGGAGAGCAGGGAGTGACAATAAGGAGTGGGGAAGGGGCTGCAGAAGAAAAAAGTTGGGGGCAGAGAGCAAGGGGACTACCTGACCCCCCCAGGCTTATTTTCCCTGCTGTAGTAATGGAAGGTTAACAAATTCAAGACAAACCTCCAATAATTAGATTATGTACCTAATTTATAAACTTTCCATATATAGAATCTAATTATTTGTAGGTCATCTTATATGCAAGTAAATTCAGTAGCTTGGTGGCAAAAGAACCTTTTGGCTGTGTCCAGATGACCATGGCCATGCAGTATGTGGCACTGCAGACACGTCTGCAGCACCACACATTCAGGTGTTCTCCATGCTGCAAGGTAGCAGTATGGCAGGTGGTTTTTTGACCCTGGAAGATCCCAGCATTAAAAAACCTGCACACAAAAAAGCAGGGTGGCACATTGTGGGGTAGCGTGCACTGCCTAAAACCAGAGCCTGGTCAGCTGGAGCCACACTCCAGCTGCCGGCCAGCCTCTGAGTGGCAGGAATGCCATGGCCGCAGCACTGGGAGGCCCCCAGAATCCCAGGTAAGGCTGCAGGGGCCAGCCCAGTGCTGGCCCCAGCCTCTCCTACCCCACCCAGAGTAACCTGCCATGTGCCAGAGGGCACATGGCACAGGCATTCTCCGGGGGCAGTTAGCAGTGGCACAGAGTGTACTGTTACTTCTTGTGCCCTGGGAAACAAACATCCACGCTCATGTGGATGTGGCCTGTGAGTCTGGGAACACTTGCTGATGAATCTGAAAACTCGTATATTAATATAACGCATGGAATGTTTTACCTAGTGGTGTGGGAAGACACTTAAAGAGGTTTTTATGTTAATAATGTAGCTTTCTTTTGCCCCCAGAAAGAAAAATTATCCACGCAGCCAGCACTGAAGAGGCACACTTCCTTGAATGATCTTAGCAGCACACGAGAGGAGCAAGAAATTGAATTCCTGAGATTGCAAGTTATAGAACAGCAGCATGTTATTGATGATCTCACAATGGTAGTATTTACCTTGTTCAGTAAACAACCTTCATTCAAACCTGTAATTTGAAATGATAGTCAAGTTAATTTTGGTTGTGCAAAATGACATTTAGCATTGTATTGAAGTGAAAATACTTCTGCACTTCTAAAATTATTCCTTTTGTGGTAAATTCACAAGCTTCTTTGAAACATCTCTGACCTTATTGCAATCGCACAAAGTTATTATCTCATGATTTAAAGATTCCTGATTGTTATCTGAAAAGGAGACAACCAATTTAAACCCTATTGCTGCTGAAAATAATTTTGATTAGGCAAGTGTCTGTTTACTTTGCATCGCTTATTGATCCAGTGGCTCAGTATGGTGTGTGTAGATGACGTGTGAGAAATGAGGTTGTGAATGCTTCTTACAGTTGCAACTAGATGGGAAGTGCTCTTGAAACAGAAATTTCACATAATTTATTTTCCCCCATTTTGCATTGTGATGAAAAAAAGAAGTCAGAGTAGCCAGTGTGTTGGTGGGTAGTACATTCATGGGGGCACTGAGCAGAGACTCAAATGTGAATCTCTTACATCCCAGATGAGCAACACATTTATAGAACTCATCTCTCCCTCTCTCTCTCTCTCTCTCTCTCTCTCTCTCTCTCTCTCTTCCCCCTGCCCCTTTAAATAACTATGAATTTACAGAAAGTCTGCAGAATGAGTTCTGCAGTGGCTCTGTGCCTACAGGACTCATCTATGAAGTCAGAGATACAGATGCTTAACTTAGCTTTAAAAATTCCCCTTCTCTCAGTTTACAGTTAACATTTGTAAGACTGGAAGCGGCCAGCATCTTCATAGATTACTTCTTGTCTACTTACCCCAGTGTTTTCAGTTTTATTTGTTCTCTATCTAGAATTGCAGTGTTGCTGTGGAACATGAAACAGCTGTCCCATTCCTCCCCAGAAGTAATTGTATTCCCATAACAGTTTGTAAAATACCTGGAATTGAAGGTGCTATTTCAATTACCATCATTATTCTGAATTACTTTATGCCTTTCCTAAACTCATCTTCTGGAACAGTGTTGGCGTAGTTGGATTTGTTTTCTGTGATTGTCATCGCTAGTATACTGTGTCCCCTGGCAGATGTTCTATTAATCCTACAGTTAATATGAATTGCATGATAAATATGCAGCGTGCCACATGTATACTCGACTTCATGCCATGAAATGGCATATGAGCTGCAAAAAGAATTTGCATGTAATGTAGAACATATTTATGGCTTGTTTGTATGTATGGCTTTAATTTGAACATATGGCATTCTAAACGCGGCTGCACACATGGTTTTTAAAGGACCTGGCCTACCAGGATTCCAGAACTGGGGAGCCTTTCCTTGATCCTGGGATCCCAGTGAACTAGGACTTCTGAAAACCATGTGTTGCATGCATGGCTTTCACATGTCCCAGTGCACTGGAATCTTTAAGTTGCATGTGCAGCCCAGTGCGCACACAACTCTTAGATGACCTATTGCATTGGGACCCACTGAGCAGGGGAAGTTGATTGGCACCCTGTAACTGGCACTTGCAAACTTGTGCCCGAGGCTCCCGATACTGGTACATCATTAGGATAAAGGGAGACGGGGGTACCTATTGTTTTTTTTCCCTCCCCTTTGGTTCTCATTCCTTTAGGTCCACTTTATCTTTTCCCACGCCCCCCTTGGAACTCGGGTCACTGTTCCACCATCAGCTGTTGAGGAAAGAGAGACAAAGAACTGTCAGAAATATGGCAGAAATATTAACCATTATTTTACAGAATCCAGGCCGGCCAATTTCCAGACAAAAGAGTCTAAATATTTTTCTGCCTTTGGCAAAAACAGTTACTTTGTTCATGTTGAATTGTAACAATGCTTTGAGCTTTCCTCATGCTTTAAGAAGATATTCATGATGTTTCTTTTTGTTGTGTATAATCTAAGTATGTATTAAAGAAATGCAATGTTCTCATTGTTTCTAGGAAAGGGAACGGTTGCTACGCTGTAAAAAACAGAAAAGGAAGAGTTTGAAACCTCCAAAGGTGAGAACTGGGTATTCCAGCATTTCCATGTAATGTAATATTTGATCATACATATTTCCTGTATGAAAAACAGGGTACATACGTAAGCAGCGAAACTTGCCCTGGCTTCAGCAGAAGTATGTAACCCATTTACTCTACACACTGGCTGTACACTCTTGCTTCCTAAAGAAAATTAAAAATACAAAAAAACCCCACAACCTCTGTAAATTTTCTTGTGATGCTTAGAAAGCTTTATAAGAAAATATTATCTAACATTTATCCACTGTGGACTATATTTCTGACTTAGGCAACTTTAAAAGGGATATGATTTTTCAGGGAGTGGCACTTGTAATTTTCAGAAAATTGGGTCCCTTAAAGTAGATCAAGTTGGACACGCATCAAATTACAGGTCCCATGCAAACTTATGACCATACTTAAAAATTTAATTTGAATTAGTATTTTGTATAAAAGTAATAAAATCAGAACATGGTTTTTTTCTACACCTCAAGAAATAAAAATTGTATTAATTTATTTAGAGAAGGGTAGATTCTTTTCAACTCTTCTTGTAGTTGTATTGTATTAATAAATGTTAAAGGAATGAAGATAACACTGAACTATTAGCTAAAAACTCAGTTGGCAAATGTGTTTTAGAGTGATTTACCGGATTCGAGTAGCAGGTAAGGTTCTGTCTGACATTTAAATAGCACTTCAATACTGTATTCTTGATGGTATACTTGTGATGTCCTCATGGTGGCATTTTTTTATTACTTTCTCTTCTCTTCTATCCAGCTGCTGAATATATGCTTTTTGTTTTGCTCTTCGCTAGAATTATTTTAAAGGATGGTCATAGTATTGCATTTGTATCACAGGGAGAGAATGAGTTCAAAAAAATATATATAAGCCTTTCAAATGGTTTTGATCTACCAAAAGTCTAACATCGGCTGACTGTAGAGGCAACAAATCTGCACCATTATTGTTCAGCATAAAATAACTGGAAACTCATTTGCTGCTGACTAGATAACCATGAGCTCTTCAAAATTAAATTGAATGTGGCTATATCAGTTATTATGGCCATTATTAGAATAATTATTACTCTTCAGTGATGAGTGAGTCTAACACTATTTAAATTATAGTCACTACAATTTTATAATCATTCTAATAAAAATAACTACATTTATTTTTCTTTTTATTAGCTCATGGTAGCTGTTTGTGTGACATAAAGAATAGCAGCATGATTTGAAAGACAGACTATTTTTTATACTAATTTTAGTTATCAAAAGAATTCTGCACCTAGCCTTTTATTAACAAGACATTGTATAATTAATTTAACTCAGGCATCTTCTTATACAAGGTACTCTTTCACTCCACCATCTGAATGAGAACAGCTTCTCTTCGGTCTGCCATGTGCCTAGCATATTGTTTTTCCATCTGTTTACTTTGGCTCACGAAAGCTAGAGTTGAACATTTTGACTGAGAAGGCAAATGAGGTTTGGAGTTAATGTATTTCTGATCAAGACCTTCCCTCCCTTCTTAGAAGATGTTTTTCATTGATATTTAAATTGGAGACTGTCCCAATTCTTTTTAATTTCCCTGGGATTTCACCATATTCACAACTCAAAGATTAGACGGTCATAATTTAAAAAAAATATATATATATTTAAGTTGTTCCAACTGATAAATGCTCAGACTGGCCATTGCCTGCCACAGTGGTGGCAGATGACAGAACAAGGAGCAGTGCTGGTTTCAGGTTGAAGCAAGGGAAATTTAGGTTAGATATTAGGAAAAACTTTCTCACTAGGAGGGTAGTAAAGCACTGAAACATCCTACCCAGGGAGGTTGTGTAATGTTTGTCTTTGGCGGTTTTTAAGACTTGGATAGATAAAGCCTTGGCTGGGATGATGTAGTTGGGGATGGTCCTGCTTTGAACATGGGGTTTGACTAGATTACCCCCACAAGTCCCTTTTGAAACCTAATTTTCTGTGATTCTGTAAAAGAGATTTTTAACTTTTAGGACAATGGCTCATTGTAAAGGGTTAAACCAAGTGGCCAGGACCTAGGGATGCCCTGCAGGGTCTCTAACAGGTGATATAATGAGTTAAATATGGTTTGCAGTGTAGATCAGTTCAGATTAATTCCAGTTTGAGAGCATCCATTGCTTTAGGAAGGCCTAAGGCCTCAAGAAAATATAGAAAACTGTACCAGCTGCAAAGAAGCAAGGAAGGTCAAACATGATTAGTTTAAATGTGAGCTACATTGGATGCTGATGGGACCTGGGTTGAAGGAACAAGAAATTCTCTGCGTGATATTTTTAAGTGGGTGAAAAGGTTCCTTTGGTACTTCTTATGGGGAAAGGGAGTGGCCCTTGTTGAAAGAGAAAATGTGAGGAGGGAGGCATGGCTGAAAAAAGAGACTGTCTTCTAATGTAGAACTAGAGCTGGTCAGAACAACACTTTTCCCATTGTTTCTTGAAGTTTTCATTTAGATAATTGTTTTAAGGGAAAAGTATTTAGTATTGAAGGGAGGAACCAGGTACAATTATTATTTCCTCCTCTTACTAGAAAATGGTATCTGTGGCTGTTGATGATGCATTTAAAAGATGCTTGCTGTTTTAGGAATATTTCGCATTTCTGTTGATCGCAGAACATTATTTACAGACTGCAGACTGGGTGTTAGAATCTAGGCTCCTGGTGGTGAGTCTGATTGGATTATTGTGTCTGAAGTGCATTAATCCAGTGGAGGCCAACTTTTCAGCAGGTGTGCCACAAACTAGCCCCACCCCCTCTGAGGGTCACTGTCATCCCTTCCCCTGCCCAATTTGCTGCTCTGCTTTATGTTTTCACCTTTTCCTCCCTGTCTGATCTGCTGCTCTGCCTTTTTCTCCCTGCTGGATCGGCCACTGTGCTTCTTGTCCTTTGTCTTATGCCATCACCCCAGACTCCCCCAAACTGTTGCTTGTCACATGCAAAGGCTGCCCATGCCACAGGTGGCACATGTTCTGCAGGTTGGCCGCCCCTGCTTTAAGGGATGAAGGGAAAATTGTAACTAGAAAGACGGTAGGTGATATCAGAAGCATGTATTTCCCATGTTCTGTATAAAATCTGTATAAAAGGTCTCTGGATTAAGCCCTGCTTGTGTACATTAGTTTTGTTTGTTTCTTAATTCCTTCATGAAAAAATTCATTAAGCTAAAGTTGAGACTGAGAGTACAGGGGTGTCACGATTGTGACGAGAAAAAGCTTTAGCTCTTAAAAAAGAAATTCGGAGGTCAAATAAAATATGAAAAGCTGTACAAGCCCAGATCTGGAAGCTGTGGAAATTCGCAGTTAAGGCACCTAAACAACCTTATTCCACTGCTCTTAGGAGCCCCATGGGATAACCATGCAGTTATGGTAAATGTATGTTGGCATTTACAGTCCCAGACTAAATGAACTGAATTTTAAAGGTGTATTGGATTTTTCATATTTTTAATATTTGGTGTCACATCTTGACTAGAATCCTTCCTGTCAGTAGGTACCCTAGCAGTTCAACTCCTCTTCCAATGCAAAGGCTACCACAAACATCTTTGACTCCATGATCTGATCCAGAGCTATGACAAACTGGAAAATTCACTAATGATGAGACTGTCTTGATCGTGCATAGCTCCCATTACAGTTAATTTCTTGGGCATTTTATATGTGCACCAGAGACGTAACTTCAAATGTTGCCTGGGTGGTATGGGAGGGGTACTTAGCTCTTCACGCAGGTGGCAGTGGCACAGGCTGCTGCAGTGGTGGCACAGGCTCCCTGGGCGCTGGTACCCACTATGAATCAGCACCCAGGGCTGGTGTCCTGGTTGTGCTTTCCACCCCAAAGTTATACTGTGGTGTGCATCTGTGGGCAGGAACTCGACTATTTTGCCCTAGAACAAGATGTCAGAAATGGTTCGGTGTCACCAGCTAAATGGTTAAGCTCAGCAAGGTTAATAATCAAACCAAAATAAATAACAAGCAATATGGGGTTTCCACAAAACTTTAGTATAACAAAAAGGTGGGGAGAGGCATTAATATGGAATAAAAGCTTAGACACACAAAGGCAGATTTGGATCTAGTGGAAGTTGGATCTATTTATGTATAGACCTGTTGTATCTTTTGGAAATCCCAGCTCAGTAAGGCAGCCATAAACAAGGTCTCACTTCTAGGAAATCAGTTTTCTTTCAGAACAGAAACTAAAAAAATAGTATCCACAGAACTTCAGCTCAGTGCCCATCAACCCATAACTTGCTTAAATTTGAAGGGCCATGCACCAGGGGGGAAAAAAGGGTATTTTCTAAAACAATATGTATCTGGAAACCTGAAAACTATTCAGTACTATAAAAATTCATTTGTTTTTGTCTCTCAAATATGTAGACATTTTGTATCCAAAATAACCACGGCAATGCATATGTACATATGCATTGTACACGTAGAGTAGAGGTAATTATAAGGATAGCTGTTAATTAGAGGAGCTATACTATGTGAAAACTTATTAACCTATCACAGAAGGAAAATAAACTGTTGTCACAAATCTTGTGCCTGGCCCTCTGAATGGTTAAATGTAAAAACTATAGTCATTTTTATACAGTGGTTATACATTTTAATGCAGTGTGAGCTAGCCTTTTAAATGGATTTGGGCCAGATTCCTTCTGTACCTAGCTTTTCCTAGAAAAAGAGAAATGAGGTGAGGTGTTCCTGGTCCCATCAGGGCCCATCCAATTGAATGGTCTGTATGTGGGCTGTCAGGATACTGTCTGGGGTGCTATACCTGTAATGACCTCATTGTTGCAAGAGTCTGCAGGCTTTGGTTCTTACTGGCAAAAGGCTTGGCCAGGTTTATTGTCCACAAACATGTCTAGATCACTACATCCATGACCAGATAGGGGCGCCTGTTTGGAGATCACTCTGAACTTCGTGTTGGGCTCTCTGAACTTCATACTGGTCTCTCTCTTGCTCTGGCATGCATCAACCAATGCATCTTAAGCACAACCAAGGAAGTGATTCTTCCACT